TTCTCTCCCAGTGTGTGATTAAGAAAATAGAGGGATGGGGATATATCTCAGTGATAGAGCACTTGCTTAGCATGTACAAGGCCCCATATTTGGTCCCCAGTACTGGGTAGGGTGGGGGAAGAAAGAAAAAGAGGGAAAAATAGATTTTTGATGTGACTGATAGAAAAATAGTAATGACTCTAAAAGCATGTAAGTTACAAAGTGCTAAAAAGGAAGAGAATGGGGGAGGAAATAGAATTAATTATTTGGATGCCATATTCCATTTTCCCACCCACATTTGAAGACAAAAAGATAAAGTACCATCTACATTTCTTACCCCTGAACTGTCTTACATAATTCTCTTCCCACTGCCACACTCCCAACCAAGAATACTGTTTACCTAACTGCAAGATTTACATATAAAGATGAAGTAGCATTTGCCTCAGCCTTCACAATAAGCTAGGTTAAAGTCTTTGACAGTCTTCATTTAGATCCTTCTAGAAGTGATAGTTTGCCTCTGTCCTGCTTAAAGGCAGGGGAAGAAGTGTTCAGTCCAGCATCAGCCTTTCACATTAGGCTTCTAAGAATCTTCATTTTAAAATGTTTAAAGTCACTTAATATTTTCAAACTTTAAGATACATAGATTTATTTTGATCAATTCTGGATACCTTTCAGGGACATGTAACCTGGTATCTACCCAGGACAAATATGCCTGAGATAGAAACAATCAGAGGGTCATCCTTGTCCCCAGTTATCGTGGGCATTTTTCAAGATTTTTTTTTATGATGTCAACTTGACTTTCCCTTTTGAATCCTTGTGGATATGAGTCTCAGAGGGAAGAGAACCCTTTCTCAGGTTTTCTGCTGCATCTGGCTCCATGCCTAGCTTCATCCCGAAGCAGCATTCTGGGTGTGTGGGGCCACCAGCCAAACAAGCCCCTATGGAACAAAAAGTGTGTCAGTGTAGACAAGAATGAGCCTCCAAAGGGCTGTAGGAGAGGAAGGCAATGAGCCCTAGAAATGACACAGCAGCTTCACTGGCCCTGGCCCATGTGGACCTATGAGACCAAACTCTGGAGTAGTTCCAGTACCAGGCTTAGCTACCTTCTTAAAGTCACTGGGCTTGCTGCCAGTCTGACTTCCTGACACATAAGTGGTGACTGGGCTAAATGTCTCTTCCTAGTTCCTTCCAGTACCTGTCCACATGGCTGAGTTCAGAGTACAAGTTCCTATGCAATTGGCTGGGATCATGTCATTCAAGATCCTATACAAATGTCTGGAATAGTGCAGGGATAGAAGATGCTGTGTTCTCATCTGAGTTAAAAGGTACTAGCACTTCTGAGCTATGCTGGGGCCTCTCTGCCCCTTCTTTCTATAGTATCATATTTTAGCATGGTCCATAATGGACATTCCATGGTTCTCAGATGAAAACACTCAGGAGAAGCTACTTAAGTTGCTTCTTTATCCCATGCCAAGTCACCAAAGTGCCCACCATGGCACCCTAAGCACAAGGCCATGCCGGCATCACCTGATGGTGCTGACTGTCCTAGGCCAGAGCTACCAAGCCAGTAAAGCCTGCCAGAAGAGTTATCTGTATGGCTCCACCTTTACTTCCTCTCATATAACACTCAAGATTTAAATATAAATGACAGTTCCAGTATTGTTGACAGTAATATGACTGATACAGGCTGATCTATGAGAAAGGGAAAGAGGATTAAGGGAATATATTGGCCATATCTAAAGAGAATCCCCMAAAGCTGCAAGAGAACTAAAAGCAATTAGCTAACATGAATTTGGAGAGTCCAAAGCAAGTCCTCAATATTATATAAAGGTCTATGGGGGAGGGGCTACAAAAAGATAAATCCTGGCCTTCTATGTGATGGATCTTTAAAATTAAAGTTTTAARATTAGAATTATAAGTTCAAGGCCACATTCACTTCTTGTTTCTGGTGACAAAATGATGTGRTTACTCAGACTGAGCTACAATAAAGTCAAACCAAACTAGAAAGGACTGGTGATTTCCTGAGCAATCTCCTACCCAGTGCAGGGAGTCCTTTCATAGTATCCCTGAGCAGTCACCCTGCTTCTACTTAAGAGAACTCACTCTCTCATGAGGTCACCAGCCCCAGTTATGGGTACATTTTAGGGAGCTCTCCTTTTCACCCACGGCTGCTATTCCTGCCCTCTGGATACAAAGAGGACAAGTCCACTCCCTCTGTCTCATGTAACCAGAAGAGCATATTTTTATATTTCTCTAATAAACAGAAATTTGAAAAGGAACCAGTGGTGAATCTATTTCTCATTGTTTTCCAAGACAGTAACCAGTCAGTATAAATGGTAGTGAGCAAAAAGTGACTGTTTCAGGAATACCATGGTTTGAAAAAAAAGAAAAAGAATAGGCTCAAGAAGTGCCTTTAGGAATCTGGAGTCCCTTAATCCCAAGTTCAGACTGGAAAGCTATCAAACTTGACAGAAGCAGGCATTAGGCCAAGAAAGATCTAAGTCTATTATCCTAGAAAGAATATACAATTCTTGACATTTCAACCCCTGAATAAAGTGTCTTGAGGATCTAGCAGCAGTCATGCACACATTGGGTTGCCTTAACAAAACTGAAAGGGGACTGTAGGGCTGTGGTTAACTACAGAACTGTTCTTCCTCTTCCTCTTTCATCTAGTAACAATAGGCAAAGACCAACAATTGGAGACCCACTGATCTTAGTACCACCCTCCCTTTGTAAAATTAAGCAAACCATAAAAAAAATCCATACTCAATGTCTGCCCCTCTTCTCCATTTAAGACCATGATCTAAATCAGCCAATAACCTCTATCTTCAAGGCAAAAATGATTTTCCAGCAATTCTCCAAAGGCAACAACAACACCTCAAATGTTTAACTTTTCAAACCACAAAATATGAAGACTTGCTATTAAAAGTGACTGCAAAAAACTTTCTACCAAGAGAAAATAAATAGCAGAGAGATCTCYCTAAAGGAAAGAGAGGCAGACCTAAGGAACAGTGGAGATACAAACAGCAGTGACTCAGGCAGGCAATGGCTGGACAGGCAAATCTCTCAGTATTCAAATGTTAATGCTCATCTCCCCCTTATATTTATGATAGGGTTTGGCCCTGTCTCCTAGACTGTAGCTGAGTGCTGGACAAAATGCCTGGTGGGTGGTGTTTCATCCAACAACAAAGACCTAGAATATTAGAAGAACCACAGAGGGAAATGCCTTGTTGCCTTGTGAGGAGCATGGACACTTCATTAAAGTGATTTTTAACTAGAACCCAGGCCAAATCATCCATTCAGGGAAAACACTAGCAGAAGTCCCAATAAACATGTAGTACCCCAGAAAACTATAGGCCCGTAAAAGCAGAAGTGCTGTGATGCCCTTAGAAAACCTCCCAGTAGCATTGTGAGGCCCTGGATTTGATACCCCATCCAACAACAATATTTTTTTTTTTTTAAAAAAAAAGGGGGGGGAGAAAAAAAAAAGCTTTCTCCAAGTGTGGAGGAGATTCTGATGGAGTACCCATTAAACTCAACTTCAATAGAGGATCCCACTCCCAGAGAAACCTCCTCTGCTCACTCCTCTCAGGGCAGGTGACTTTGGGAACAAGAAAGAAGGGATAAAAGAAGTAGCAGGAGAGAGAGTTGAGTGTGCTTCTACTCTGGGAGATTACAATGAGAAACATCTTCACCCTGCAGAAATTGTGGCCACTGGGAGCAAGCACTAAACTTGAAACTATGCGAGACCAGACTACTTGATAATTATTAATGTTAAAACCTCCAGACTTAGCCCAAAGGGAAATGAGTTACAATGCTGTCTTGTCTAAGGCTACTCACTTCTTTTTAAAGAGCTTGCGGAAGGAGCTGCGAAAGCCCCCTTTCTGGTCTTGCCTGGGATTTTGATCGCTGAAAGATGTTTGTTCACTTTCTCTTTCTTCCTTTGGACAGAATCGGGTGGTGTCTTCTAAATGCATCTCCTGAAAACACAAAAGAGGTACTGCTTTTTTACTCTTTTCCAAAAATATCTATCCTGACTATGGGTCAGTTTTTTTATTTTGTCACTTTCCTCACCTACCCCAAAAGACTTATCAGTGAATACCCAATYGCAACTAAAGCACACTTAGGCTAATAAAGAAATCATGAAGTGAAAAGGAGAAAATTTTCTGCTGTGTGTAGTATTTCCTATATATCAATAATCTAGGATAGGAACATAGTGAATGCTTAAAAAGTATAGAAAGTAAATGCTTATTCTGGCACTGACACTGTCTTGCTGGAAACCCAGTACTAAGCCCCTTCATATCTCTGAATATATTTCTTTCTAAAAAATAAGAAATCTCCTTAATTGTAATATGAGTTTTAAACTCATGTTTCTAATTCTCCATTTTAGGCATAAATGAGGAAAGGAGTTTTTGAGAGGTCAGAACTGTTTAGAAGTAAGATCACCTACTATCTCCAAACTGAAAATAAGCCTTTAACACAGTTTTTACAATTCTGAATCCATGATATTTGGAATATAAAATAAAATAGAAATAAGGATATATCTTTTGTGAACTCTCATTTTTAAAATGTGAAATGTGTCAACTAATAGATGTGAATATGTATTCATCTGTATATAAGCTAGATGTGCATATACATATATATTATATCTTGAGTTAACTAATTTAAAATTAATCTAAAAATAGTTTCTGGATTTTGAATAACCTTAAAAGTATCCAAGAAGTCAAGGCAAAAAAATATAGAGAATGCCCTGTAAGTCACATGAATTGGATGGGTGACTGCTGATAGAAGAGCAAAACATGAGGATGATTTTTTTTTTTTCAGGAAACATACAGGTTTGACTTAGAGAAATTAAGTTGGGGTTGTAGTCACAGATCTGAAATTATCTGAGATTCTGCTAAGATTCATAACTAGACTATGGAGATCAATATCCTGATGGCTTAGTAGAGTGTTTCTCAGATGTGTGGTCCTGGGACTACAAGATCAGCTGAGGCCTCTATTTAAAATGTAGATTTTTGCCTTTCATGGTGGCACACACTGGTATTACCAGTAACTCAGAAGTGGAGACAGGAGGATTGTTTGTGTCAGGAGTTTGAGACAAGCCTAGACAACATAGCAAGACCCTATCTCAAAAACACCTGAGCCCCACCCAACTTTCTTAATCAGAATCTCTGAAGTGAAGCCTGGATAATCCTTAAGCACACTTGCACATGAAAATCAGTGATTTAAGGCATGTTTCTTCTCATCTTCTCTTCATGTTTACATGAATCACGTAGGTATGAATCCTAAATTGCAGTTTCTGATTCAGTAGGTTAGGCTATAAATTCTGGATATAACAAATTCCTAGGCAATGCACTCACCACTAGCTTGACAATTATATTTTGAGAAATGGGCTTTTAGGGACTACAACCAGGCTACAGTGTTGGCGAAAATGCCTGGTGGGTGATGTTTCACACAAGGACTTGGAATTCAGGACTACAGAAGGAAATAGCTTATTTTTGCCTCCAGTTGAGTATGGAAACTCTATTAAAGTGATTTTTAACTAGGACCCTCATCAAATCATTCATTTAGGGAAACTAAATCTATTAACTGTTTAAGAAAAAAAATCTTTCTGTAGAACCATAAGCTTAATAAAATTTTATATCTGAATAGCATCCCATACTTTACAAAGCATATTGACAAATTTTATCTTTTTTGGCCTGATCTTCACAACAAACCTGTGACATAAGTAAGGTAAAAATATTGCCTTGTTTTTATAGGTAAGAAAGCTGGAAACACAGAGAAGCCAAGTGAATTGTCTAAAAGCACATAGCTATTTAGCATAGAGCCAGAATTAGAACCTAGAGCTCCTGACACCCAATCAGATGCTCTTTGCACTAAAACACACTATCTTCTTTCTTGATTTTGAGAGAGGACACTAAGGACTAGGCTTCAGTTGGCTCTCCTGGGCAGACGTAGGAGATGCAGAGTATATAGAGATAGAACAGAAGTTTTCCACATCTCAATAGTCAAATAAGATAAGGTGAGGTATGGTGGCACATGCCTATAATCCCAGCAACTCAGGAGTCTTGAGACAGAAGGACTGCAAGTTCCAGGCCAGCCTGGGCAACTTAATGAGACTCTGTCTCAAAAAATTAAAAGGGCTGGGGATGTACCTCAGGGTTAGAGGACCCCTGAATCCAATCCCCCGTACCACCAAAAGGGGGGACAGTTGTAGGGTTATCTTTTGCAACAAAATTCCCCATCCTGCCCCCACTTCATATACACTTATTCATATATACATGCACTCACCCATATATACAAACATGCATGCATGCACATACACATTTGCACCAACTTTAATACTCATACACAATCTCTGCCCACCTGCACTCTGCACACAACTCTCTCTAGGAATTCTATTAATCTAGGCCTTCTGAGTTTTTATAAAGAAAAATTTGTCCAAAATCAGAAATAAGCAATGGGAACTTTTGCATATTTGAAAATTTTACTGACATGTACTGCTAGAGAAAAGATCTTTTTAAAACAGATTTCATTTGATACTTCTTTAGTATCTCTTCTTAAACTGACTTGACTTCTGTCTTACAATGTTAGGAGAGGAAATTTGTTGCCCAATTTGTGTGATTAACAGTTTCTAACATATTGTTATTTCATATGTCTGTTAAACAGTCACAAATATATTACTCATTGTTTCTCAGATATATTACTTGTTATTTCTGATTAATGGTTTTTACCTGGCAATTGTTGAACCCCTAAATTTTCACACATCAATTAGGGAAAAACATTTTTATGAACATGTGAAATGAAAGCATTTTTAACAGCATAAACTATACTAATTACTTTTTTTCATGCCTGACTACCTCAGATTTCCCTCAGCTAACTTCTAGGCAACTTTTCAAATCTAATTCAGACACCCAATACTTCCTAAATACTTCCTGTATTTAGGAAGGCTTTTCTGACCACCATCATACCAAGAAATTTTAGATAATCCTCTTGTGGGCTCCTACAGTTTATCACAGTTCTGTGTTTTTGTGCCTTACTCCTATACTAAGCTAGTAATCCTGGAGGACAGAAATTAGATGTTGTTTGTTTCTAAATCCTCATCAATGAGCATAGAAATTAGAACAAGGCAGGCACTTAATTTTGTTTGTTGGAAAATTAATTAAAGGAGTCAGTGATCATCAATCTGTCCCTACTCGGAGATGAGAATAAGTGGAATGGAAGGGTTGTGGTACAGGTGAAAGTTGTGTTACTTTCTGCCAAATCAGAAATTGCCTGTTTCAATCACATTAAGAACTTAAGTATTTGCTTACAAACTACTGGCCCTTTCATGGACATGTGTTTAATCACTCTTTTTAAGGCCCCAAGGCTTGAAAACACTAAGGATAGGCATCAAAATGCATCAACGTTCACTGAGACCAAAGAAGGTGTTTTTTGAGTCAATTCTTCTCTATCATGGGATGTCCTTGTCCCATCCAATATAAATTAATGTGACATCCTTTTCTAATCAAAAAGAAAGCAAGCAGAAATGAAAGTCAGCTTTGCAGCAAACTTCTCAAAGCCCACACTAAAAGCAGGGCAACTTGCCTCATCCCTAGCTACAAACAAGGACAGTGGGGGCTTGGAGTAGGGTAGCTGTCACACAGTCTTCAACGTTTAAACAAGGAGGGGTTCCTAACAGGCAAGGGGGGAAAGCCAAGCCAGGGAGTTGCGTGCAACGCTTTGAAACAAGTTCAACTCTAAGGCGYCACAAGCTGAAGGAGAATAACATCACTCCTAATCCTCTCAGAGCGAGAGGAGAAAGGGGAGACGGGAAGAGAACGCTTTCACAGAGAGGAGAGAAGGGAGAGATTGGAGAGGAGGGGCGAGGGAGAGAGAATGAGTATGAACATGGAGACAACGCAGATCTAAAATGGGGTCGAGGTCTTCTCTGCCCTCACACATGTACTTGTGTGACCTGCTCAGTGTCCTGTACGGGAGCTGCCACTCGCCTTCAAGGCCACCGAGGCCTTTTACTGGGGCAGGCGACTTCTGGGTCCCTAGCCTGGCCTCACCCCACTCCCCTCCTCGCTAGGGGGCGTCGGGCTGGCCCTGCCGCTCTAGGCCCGGGGCCGCCGGCGTTGTGGGTTTCGGTTCGGTTTTACTTTACCCTCCTTACTTCCAAATAGGTCTGTTTTTCGCTTTGGGACCTCTGTTGGGGGAAGAAGGTCCGCGGCGCGCCGCGGGGTACGGCGGCGCCACCGGCCGGGCCGTGGGGCTGCGCGGCGCGCTCCGCGCGCTCCGCGCGCTCGGCCTTGAGCGGCGCGCGGCCGCCGCTGCTGCTGCGCGTGCTGTAGAGGCGCGGGGCCACGCCCTCGGCGGGCGGCGTGCGCGGGAACTCCTTGAGCGAGCGACTCAGCGGCTTGGTCTTGCCGTGCGCCTGCGCCTGCGCCGCTGCCTCCAGCTTATAGGCGCCGCTGCTGCTCGCCGGCGACGTGGCGCTCTTGGGCAGCGGCTGCAGCGCGTGCTCGGGCCGCTCGGCCTCCATGGCGAAGCTGACGGGCCTCAGGAAACAGATGTCCAGGCTGGACTCGGAAGAGGCCGGCGAGCAGTTCTCGAAGAGGGCCGGGGCCTGGAAGGGCTCCTCGTCGTAAGGCGCAGGCAGCGCGAAGATCTCGCCGCCGTATTCGAACTCCTCGTAGCCCGCCGGCACGAAGCCGCGGGCGTCGGGCAGCAGCTCGGCCGGGGCGCGCAGGGAGCGCTCCACGTTGCCCAGCTGCTCGGCGGGAGAGGGCTCGAAGTCCATCTCGGGGATGGCCTGCAGGGGCCCGGCGAGCGCCTTCACGTCCTGCTCGGCCGCACAGAACTGTGCCGGCGCCAGCAGGCTCTCAGGCCTCTCGTGCTTTCTGCCCTCCATCTCCCAGTCACTGGGCTTCCCGGGCTGCATGCTCTCCATCATGCTTTGCTGCTGTTGGCCTTTCTTCACTGGGGGCATCAGGTGTCTTTAAAGGGGAAACAATACAGAAGAGGTGTGCTTATTGTTTATTAGTGCTAACCTCTTAATGATAATGGCTCGCCCTTCCMGTCCCAGGTGCCTGCCAAGCTCCACAAACTTCTACTGAATAATTCCCAGGAACCTCTGTCCCCAAGTGGAAGAGTAGAAATGGCCAGGAGGAAGTGGATGCCTGAGCCCCTCAATGGCACCAAGGACCATTTTCATTCCCCTTTGTGTAAGCTCTGACCCTCCCAACATCAGTCACAGTGTCCCAAGGCATCTCTTAAAACTGCTCTTTCTTGCCCTGGTTTATACAAAATAATGGAAATTCAATTTTTGTTCCACCCATGGATCTTCACACTTAAAAACAAATATATTCCTAGATGAAATAAATGTGGCATGTCTTGATAACTGTTGAATCCGAATGGTGGCATGTGGGGTTCATTGTACTTGGGTAAATTTAAATTTTTCTTAATTTAAAAAAAAAAAACTATGGCTATAATGATGCTAAGTAACCCCAAACTTCCACCCACAAAGCATTAATACTGTTTTAAGAGTTTCCGCTCTGAATATGCCCAATATCATGGAAGGTTTTGTTCATTTGTTTGGGGAGGGATCATGAATAGTGAATAGTTTACATAGGTTACAATGTAGTATAGTATACCCATCAGAGGGGACTTTCCAGTTTTGCTTCAGCTGCCAGACAGATGTAAATGGACAACTCCACATTGATTCAAAGTAGTGTTCTAATTTATTCATATTTAAATTCTTACCTCAGAAATATATAAAAAAGTAAGACACCAGAGTATCTTACTTTGGTGATCCTAAAATGAAAATTAGGTCTTACATTTATAGATGTGAAAAGAAATAGTGAAATGGAATCTTGATCTGACTCTTCTAACTTTGAAGATTGTTATTGAATTTTATTTTCTTTGCACGGAGTGTAATGATAGCCATGTTGTTCAGTCTGGGATAAAATGCTAGATATTTCATTTTGGAGCTCTGTTTGTTGCACTTCAAGGAAGATAAAAGGCTTTATCACTGTCTCAAGAGTTGGAGTAATCCACAAAGTAAACTTACACTTTCTATCTCTATTCCCACTGTAGGCCAGTCCCTCAAAATTAGTGTCTTTCTCTTGAAACAAAGCATCTAGTCAACTGCTTAGCTGTCACAGATAGGCCTGATGKGGTAAAGAGGAAGAGTTCTGTAGATATACTCCTTTCCAGATCAGCCTACTAACCCACACAAACTGCCTGGGACTAAGGGCATTGCCATCAGCCTTTCCATAGCAATAGGTGCTTACGTGACAGTGGGGCCAGAACTGGGAGCAGATGGGTAGGGTTGCAGAATCTCTTCTGAGTGGATCCCACCGTCTCGGACAGCCTCAGGGCCTGCAGTAGGGGAAGCATCTTGGCCAGCATTTGCACACTGGGAAGCCAGCCCTTTGTATAGCTTTGCCATTGATGACCTAACAGGATAGAAGTAAAGATTCTCAGGTTGTACAAGGGGAAAGTGGCTCTCTAAATGCACAGATTATGCTAAGAAAGAATTCTCAGATGACCCTTGTTGTGAGCTTTCTCTTTCTCCAGGGCGGTCTAAAATCAGGTAAGCAACCTGGTTACAAGTATGGATTCTGATTAACTGGCTGACAAGAGATTGGGGGTAGGGGGTAGTATTGAGAGATGCATGCTATTAGAAGAGCCCTGACTTGAGAGRGCATCTTTTCTGGTCTGAAGCTGTGACAGAAATAATTCTATTTTCCATCAAGTGGGTTGGGATAAGGTTGATCTGACTCTTCTAACTTTGAAGATTGTTATTGAATCTTGATTGTTATTGATTGTTATTGAATTCCAGGTCATCAGGAAGCTATGCTATGGGTTGCATCAGTTCCCTTTGGAGCCCAGAAGTTTCCTAACCTTCTCTTTCTTCAAACTCTTTCCCCACATCATTTGCTTTACTTTTATACATAGCACTTATTAACATCTAACTTATTTGTTCACTGTCCAACTATGAAAAGTAAGCTCCATGTGGCAGGGGTTTCTGACCATTTTGTTCATTGCAATGTATTCARTGTGTAGAATAATAGAACAGGGGCTCAATAAATGTTCACTAGATTGATGAAGGAAATGATCTTTGGCCCTTAAACTGTGATTTTGTACCTGATAAGTTTAGGGAAACTGAACTATTTTTGAGGTAGTTAACATGAGAGGGCATTAGAGTGAAAATGCTCTTTTTCTAAAGTAATTTCGACCAGGTTATAGGTGTTTCCCTCCTGTACTGTCTGGGCACCTCTCCTMCTCTCTCCTACCTCCCACCACTGTATCTCAGCCACATAACCACAATGTGGTTACTTGTGACAGATACCTACATTTGACTGGTCTATGTAACCTATTCTCAGAACCTTTGATAGACCTTCCCAATTGAATTATCAGAAACTTACTTCTTGAGCTTTTTCCGTTTCTGAATAAGCAAATCCTCATTGCACTGAAACAGCAGGGTATAGTGTGAGATAAATACTCGGAGACGCTGAACGCACACCAGTAGTAGGTAATAGTCAGGATGTTCTTGCTCTGTGAACTTGAGGACATTCTTCATGGAGAGAAAAAGGAAGCATTATATAAGAAGAAGGAAAAGTTGTTTTGTCTCTTCTGCATCTTACTTGGACCTATTTTAAGTTTGATAGCCTTTTAGTCAAAAAAACAATACATATGACCCATCTAATAAACTAGAATGTCAAATTTGCTGTTCTCTGTCCACCATTCCAAGGGAAAATAAGTCATTACAGTTCCAACTGGAAAGTTAGAAGGATCTATGAATTAGATCTCTGAAATAGTAGAGGCATTCTAACAATTACTATAATTAATGTCTTAATTCAAATGAGTCAGACTACTGATGAGAATGTCAGGCATCAAGACAGGCAGGTAGGGGTGGTTGGTGGATGGGTGATTATCATCAAACCTGGCCTGGTGACCTCTCCTATTACATTGCTTGTTGCTATGGTTTGGATATGGTTTATTCCCTATGGGTTCATGTGCTCGARGCTTGGCATATGATGTAGTGGTATTGAAAGTTGGTAGGACCTTTGAGAGGTGGGGCTTAGTGAGATATGATTAGGTGACTGACCACACTCTTAAAGGGATTAATGCTGGTCTTATGAAGATGGTTAGTTCTCATGAGAGTGAGTTGTTATAAATAAGTAAGCCTGGACCCTCCCTGGTGAAGGCCATCCCCCACTCACTGTCTTGACAGGGTCACAGTGAAAATAAGTGCTGGCAAAGCCGCTCTCCCACTGTCTTGACAGGGTCACAGTGAGGATGAATGCTGGCAAAGCCGCACTGGTTGGTGGGAAACCGAAACCATAAGACCCTTTTTTTATGTAATTGGGACTTTTCATTTTCATGCTTATGTTTCTGACAGGAGGCATGAGTATGTTAAATGCCAAACAAATTTCAGATGGCTAGAACATAACAGGTAGTTCATGCCTTGRAGGCTGTTCTACTACCCCTCAGCATATCAAGGTCAAAGTAGAAGGCTGTTCTTCTATCTCGGTACATTGAGGACAAATCTGATAATTGACAACAATCATTCTCTGAAAGGTCACGAGAATTTTGGGCACCACATTGATTATATCAACTAGAACCCAAGCCCATATTTCCAGCCTCTTAGAAAACCTAATCATTATGCTTATTTTACAAAGCCCACCATATGTAGTCTCATTTTTGATTAAGGAAAGTTATATTATACACTTAGGAAAGTTAAAACATATAAAGATATATTCTTCTCTTTTTATAAACCCTTTTTTACTTTATATAGGGATTTATGATGAGCATAGTTAATATTGGCGGGAAGTGGACTGATTTTAGAACTTACTTTCTTTTGAGAAAGATTATAAAGATATGAGAACTAGTGCACCTTGACTGAGAAACAAAGAAACTCTTTGAAAAAGCAGCTCAACCAGTTTTATGAGAATAAATTTAGGAATTAATTAAAGWAGCTTTATAAGATATTTTTAGAATAATGTTAGAAATATTATCCTATTTAGATTTTTGGTTTAGAAATTCTTAAGTTTTTAGTTGTATGGGTTTCTGATATGTTTTAAGAATGACTTATAAACTTTAGGATATTTTAAGTATAAGATTTAAGGGAACTTTTTTAGATGGGAACTTTAGATTAGAAATAAAGTAAAGGTGTACTTTAAACTTAAAGGTTAATGATAGATTAGGAGACTTAGAGTCTGGTTACATAGTTTGGCATTAGTTAATAAGAAAATAGCATATCTTGGGAAAAATAGTAAATCTTGGAAAAATCTGAAAAATGTAAATTAGTGATGCATTTTATTAATGATTCTGTACTTTTAATAATTAAATAACTAAAGGTCATATCCTGGAAAAATGTAAATTAATGTCACATTTTTTGTACCCCTAATCATGGTTAAGGAAATGTCATGTCTTGGCAAAAATTTTAAATTGTATAATCAATGACGTATTCTGAATCTATAATGATGAGAAAATTTGCAATAAAAGATGACCCAGAGAAAGCTGCATTAGCTCTCTCTCTCTAACATTGGTTTAATACTTCTTGTCAGGAACTGAGTCGTTTATATATATTACCCCATTTAATTTTTACCACAACCTAGTTAGACAGGTATAATTATTATCTCTCTTTAGCAAATAAGAAAATTGGGGGTTCAGAGAAATTAAGTGATCTTTACTAAATCACATATCTAGTAAGTAATGGAGGAAGGCTTTGAACTTAAATCACAAGGTATAACCAGGGCTTATTTACCATATTCTAACACTTGCAAGACCTGGACTTCAGCCCTAGTTTTTCACCGCTAGATAAGAACTTAGGCATATTACTTACTTCTTTGGCCCTTCATATTCTCATCTAAAAAATGGTAACAATGATTCCTATCTTATGGGATTTTTGAAAGGAATTATATTAAGTAATAATATAATTATTATGAGAAAATGCTATTAGGCCTTAAAGCCATACAAAATTTAGAAAACCTCAATATTGACATTGGACTGCTTCCATCTAAGATTAATCACAAGTATTTCTAAGATGTTTTTGCTGAATTACTTCAAAAACCAGTCAGTAGTTAAAGCAGAACAGGTGGGTGATTGGAAGAAGAGGGACTAGTAAGAGATTGATGAGTCTCTMGGGTCTACTTCCTCCAATATGCCTCAAACCCTGTGGGAAAATAGTGTGAAGAAATTTGCTCATCAGCTTCTTCATTACTCTTCTGTGACATAAAGTATAAGCATTGTAAAGTAAAACTTTTGACTTGAGTCAAGTGAAAGTAATCGGGATAGCAATTAAGTGGGCAGGTTAAATAGAAATTTAGACACCAAGAGCTGACATTTWGATGACTGTAGAGCCAAAGTAGATGGCACTAAATAAAGTGTTTCAATCCTGGGCCACCAGAGGGGGACATGGCTCATAAATAAAGATAAAACTCAAAGTCAGTCATCATAAGTCAAGATATTTTTGGAGCCAGGCACTTGGTGCACGCCTGTGTCACCAGTGGCTCTAGAGGCTGAAGCAGGAAGATCAAGAGTTGAAAGCCAGCCTCAGCTAAAGCAAGGCACTAAGCAACTCAGTGAGGCCCTGTTTCTGAAGAAAATACAAAATAGGGCTGGGGATGTGGCTCAGTGGTCAACTGCCCATAAGTTTAATCCTTGGTAAAAAAAAAAAAAAAAAAAGATTTTTGGAGATACGAGATTTTTAGCTTATCCCACAGAGTAGGATGAGGTATGGGGTAGTCATAATAATATAAGCCATGTAAACACTTGGAAATATTAATGATTCCTTGAACCTTTACAGTATAAGTTGGAAACCAAAAATAATATTTCAATATGAGAATCAGTTTGATGGCTTGCCTTGCAATGCTTACCTGCAGATGTATCAGATATTCAGGGATCCGCTGGACTATGTGAAAAAACAGTGTATAGATGTCAGATTTAATCTCTTCATCACCCTGAATGAAAGAAAGGTGGAGTCACTTTTCAGTGTTCCTCCAGCTCTGGCAGCAGAACCCTGGAGTCAGTTGCACCAGAGAAAGGATTTATGCCCAGAGCATTCTCTTTCCAAAGATCACCATGAAGCATTGATCTTTCACATGTGCAGGGACATGACAAAGGAGGTAACTCTTCTTTAGCAAGGAGCGTATCATATATGTCTTTTGAATCCACTTAAATTTCCAAACTACACTTTCCTTCCCCACTTGCATCTTAGTACAGAGCTAAATAGAGATGGGCATTTAAGGACTGGGGTTGTGACTCAGTGGTAGAGCGCTTGCCTAGCATGTGTGAGGCACTGGGTTTGATTCTCAGCACCACATATAAATAAATAAAATAAAGATCCATTGACAACCAAACAATATTTTTAAAAAAGAGAAATGGGCACTTAAATTATATTTGAATTCAATTAATTAATTAAAGTTCTCCAGCAAGTAATCATTATGATGGTTTACTAATAGGCTCTAAGGATGGCTTAGAGTTTCATCAGAGTTGGAGGGAAATGTCATTAGAAATTGGTTGTTTGGCCTGGAAGCAGAAAACATGTTGGGCTTTCTCTATGTGCCTTTCCTTTCCTCCATTTCCCCTTCCTGCTTCCCAAACATTTGCTGAATGCTAACTTATAGTAGTCATTATACCAGATTGGGAGTAGGGGTGGAAGTTTGAAGTAGAAAGCAAGACAGAGCCTCTTATCTCTTATGAGACTTGATTAATTTGCAGCTTTGGGGCTTCTGACACTGTTTTTTCCTATTGACCTAAAATAAATAGAAGTGTTATAGATGTATACATACTTATTGATCACCTAATATATCACCACAGCAGTAGCACTTAAAGCAACACGATTACAGTCACTTTATGATCGTATAAACTGACAAAAGATGATTTGAACTTAATATTGAGATTCATATCTTCCAAACCTGAAACACACACACACACACACACACACACACACACACACACACACACAGCATAAAAGCTGCAACCTGAAGAGTTCTGGTTAGAACACCTATTTACGTTGCCTATAATTCCATTGAAGTAAAACAGAGGTCCAATAAAGCAGGGCAAGGACCAAAGCAACAGAAGTGATCTTGAGTAGGCTCCTAAAGCCCCAGGAAAGGTGTCAGTGGCTCTGTTGAGGCAATCCCTTAACCTGAAAACAGGCTCAGAGTGTACATGCTGTACTGACTGGGTAGATCAGCAACATGGCATAGATGATATGCCAATAAAAGACAGTACACACATAGAATTAACTTACCTCCTTCAGAACAACAACATGAACCAATGAGATGCATTCTGGTAAATCCCTCAAATAGGCAACATAATAATCCAAGAAGTTATTCTTTAAAAGAAACACAAAAAATGCAAGGTAAGAACCTGGAAACAGGAATGACAATATATTTATAAAGCTATGTATATTGAAAAGGAATGCTTGGCAGAGATTATCTTAATCATTCAATTAATGTGTTCTTTAATGTATTTTGGAGGTTTGTGTTATCTTTTTAATAAATCTTTTTGGTTTTAATGTAAACATCACTACAATTTGGAAACCAAAACTCAATGGCCCTACCTCAATGACATGAAATAATAAACTAAGGGCAGAATGAAAGTCTTAAAGTTGAAAAAGTATTTTTAAATTGTTCAATGATAAAGATGCTTATTTTGTTTTTGTAATTCATTTTCATTTTAATTATCTACATCCAAATAAAAACACTGGCCAACCCTTCTCATATTATCTGGACCAGCAGTTCTCAGTGTTTTCAACTACCTGCATCTTTCAACTAAGTGCATATTCACCTATGCAATTTTCCCTTAGAAAAACATAGTTTCCAAAGTGATATTCTCACAGATATAACAATTCTTAGCCCCAGAAATCACAGTGACTACAAACAAGTGAAAGGGATATTAGAGAGATAGCATTATACTTACTTTTCTCTACAACTAATTTGTAAACTTTGTGTTGTTACCTGCATTTGAGAATCATTATACAGAGGTTGATTACAGGCAAGAACTGATTTTCAGACCAATTGTAAGTAGCCCACACAGTGTTTTAAAAATAAGAAAAATTACACAAAATTGTGGATTATTCACTTCTCTTAAAATAGAAGTATGGCAACTCTAGTCCATTTTCCTGAACAATAACTGGATAAAACTGTGAGCTATTTTTATAGTAAAATATATGTGCAATTCGGTGTAATTCCCACCAGTCCATATTGTATTACATTTAACCCACATCTCTCATTTATGTCACTATCTGGCCCTGCAGACATTTGAATTTGTAGCCTTGGTCTGGATCATATTTTCTATGTAAAACATTATATAGACTTTCAAAACTTAGCACCCTTTCCTTTCACCAAGAAAGTGAWAACAAAAGATATCCAGGACAAATAGTCATACTTTAAAAAATCTCTAAAGAATGAAAATTATGTGTGAAAATACACACATATATACTTATACGCTTATTTTACAAGTATGTATGCATATTTATGAGCATGAGTATATGAACAGAAACACATATAATCATATATACTTGCATTTTCAGTGAAGTCAGTTATAGTTCTATATAAAGTTATGAACCAGAAGTTAAAAGACCTACCATGTTTCCAGTCACACAGATATCTCATTACCCAGCAAGCTGGGTGATTTCAGAAAAGCCTTTAAAATCTCTCTGAATCTTATTCAGTAATTGTAGAATAAGGAAGTTAGTAGTAGTTCCTCTGAAAATCACTCTTTTTTAGATTCTCCGTTAAGAGAAGCAGATGAGGGAAACACAGATCAATATAATTAAAGTTGTAGAGGAGGATTTAAAAAATGGCTTACCTCATCATTTGTTAGTTTAAGGAATAAATCTCCAAGAACTCCTTGGCGTGGCCATTTCAGGACCCTTTCCTGCAGTGCATGAAGCAAATCCAGGTGCTGCTGGACAATGTACCGTAAAGACCCAGGGAAGAGGCTTGAAACAGAGCACAGAAAGAAACACGTGCCAGGTGTAGAGAAGAAAAGATCCTACAAGCATAAATTCAGGGCCTGGGATGTGGCTCCGTGGTAAGTGGTCCCCTGGCATGCATGAGGCCCTGGATGAAACCCCTAGCATGGGGGCAGGGGTAGGGATAAATATAGAAGGTCACATTTTCACAGTCCTCTGAAATACTGTGAGTTACAGGTCTGCATTTAAGATTAAAAAAAAATTGTCATAGACCTTAGCTGATGCCTTCACACTGTAAAAAGACCCCATTACTGATGGCCCCTATACAAATGTGTATTGATCAAATAGTAAGAGCCTATCACTCAATTGACCTTTTTAAAGTTCACCTGGTACACTCTTATTTATCATACCTAAGAGTGAAAATTCTAAGGGAAGCCTTTTTTTAATATTTTATACTTATTCCAATTTAATATGCAAATAATCTATTCTAATTTGTGCTGTAGATGACGGCATCTAATGTGGCACTTAGTTATTCTTGGCTAGCAGACTGCTATTTAGGTAAGTAGAAAAATTTGTTTAAAGCTAGTAACTAAAAGCTCAGGGAGTTGGGGGGCAATGAGAGGGTCTCTTTTCCCCTTTCTTTCAGTTCCTAAGAGGCAAACTGGGCAAAGACAAAGTCTTGCCTGCAGAGGCTAGAGACCAGGGATGTCCTGGTACTCCTTGGAGTTTCACAGAATCTCTTTCCCACCCTCAAATCTCTTTCCTCTTCCTCTTAATATGGATCATTTTCCCCCCAGAGGAAATGAAGGGAGGAAGAGAGAAGTCAGAGAAAGGTAGAGTGGAAAAGAGAAGTAAATTGAAAGTAGGTTCCCTATGCTTTCAACACAACAAATTTAAGAAAGATGAAAGCGATGGCCTACTTGTCACTGAGTGCTGAACTTATTTAAATACTTTCTCAGGTTCTAATGGGAGCAAATTAGTGGACAACTGGGGTGATTTGCCAACAAGCAGAATTTTCCTGGAAAAGTAGAAAGGACATCAAATTGAGAAGAATGGGTTGGATTTTTCAACCCATTTCCAAARACTTCCCTGTGGCTGTAACTCAGCGAAGACAAACAAACCGAATAAGGTACCAAGATCCCCTATGAAAGATACAAACTATGATAGTTAACTGGGATTACCAATTTGATTGGATTAATAAATGCCTAAAGTTAAGAGACTTTTGGGTACATTGACKAGGGTGTTTCCAGAGATAATTATTATGTGGAAGAGCAAACCAAAGGGTGAGACCTGCCCTGAATGTAGATGGTTTAGTCCAAAAGGCTGGGGACCTGGATGGAAAAAAGATGGAAGAAGGAGAAAATCAATGTAGATTAAAACTCATTCTTCTTGAGCAGCTGCTTAGACGGCTGCTGAGATCACCTGAGGACACTGGATTTCAGCTCCTTCTCTCTTCCAAAGCAGACTCTGACCAGTCTCCAGGGAGTGTCCAGCCTCTAGTCGTGAACTGGGACTGAATCATAGTTTTCTCCTCTTCTTAGACTCCGGCTTCTTGGACTGAGCAGCTACTAATTTCTCCAGTCCTCCACTCAACAGTTGACCAATGTGGGACTATTTGGCTTCTGATCCTGTAAGCCAATCTAATAAATCCCCTTTTCATAATCAGATAGATAGATCCTGTTGATTGTTCCTCTAGAGAATCCTGACTAATATACAAGGAAACCTTCCATTCCATTCCCTCCACCTTCTGTTCAATGAGTCTCCACATATGCAAAGGTTGCTGATCCTAAGTATCAGATGAGAGACCTCTCCATCTGAGCTGTACAGATAGGATGATGGACTTGGAAGGTCTTAGTAATCCCTGTCTAGACCAGAGAGAAATTTGGAGGGGTTGCTAGAAGCCATGTAGAAAGGCTGGGAAAAGACCATAAACCTGGTGGAGGAAAGCACAACTGATGGTGCTAACAGAGTAAAACACTTGTATCAGCAAAAGTCTAGATGCAAAAACATTTTTGCCTACCCAGAGGCTATAATTTTAAGTTAATAAATTTTCTCTTGCCAGTCCAGTAGTAGGCTAAAATAACTTCTGGGCTTCAGGTACAGAACACTACAACCATATTGGATGGGCATGGATAATTAAATATGTGCCACCTGGTGGCTATCTATAGCACAGAGCTGGTTCAGTTCTGGGTGGATGTGGCAACTGGAGTTTAGCTTATCAGGCTAAATGGCAATCCTCCCCATAAGTATTTAGACAGGTGTTTAATGTTAAGGTCTAACCTATCTAGGTGAGTCAGACCAAAAAASAGCCCAGAACTCCAACTTTTGTGATCTTCCAACAAGATCTGCCCAAGCTTCAGCTGGGAGCATGTGCTTGCAGCTTCCAGCCCATTCCGCCAGGCACAGGCTGCCTCGAGACAGGCTGAGGCAGCTCTTGAGCAAGTCACTTCTTTTCCCTCCTAGGGAAAACCTAAAGCTTTATTTTAGTTTGAGATGTGGCAATGTCAGGTTTGAGTGTCAAGTTGTAGTTGTCGTGGTTTTTATTTTCAACCCAGGTTACTTTCTAATAGGGTAGAAAGTGCCAAAGGCTTGCAGTTTGTGATGGAAAAGGCAGTAAATGTTAATAAATTTATTTTCACCTTTGCATGGAGAATACCAATAGGTCCATTTAAAGTACACAGAGGCTTCAGAAAGGCTTAGGAAAAAGGATAATGAAAATTTAATTCTAGGGTAGATAAATGACAACACTGCCACACTCAGAACCAGAGATTCTTTTTTTTTTTTTTTTTGGTACCAGGGATTGAACTCAGAGAAACTTGACCACTGAGCCACATCCCCAGCCCTCTTTGGTATTTTATTAGAGACAGGGTCTCACTGAGTTGCTTAGCACCTCGCTTTTTGCTGAGGCTGGCTTTGAACTCATGATCCTCCTGTCTCAGCTTCCCAAGCCACTGGGATTACAGATGTGCGCCACCACGACCGGCTTAGAGATTCATTTTGAGTATCAAGAATATGGAATTGATGCTTTTTCTCTGCTTTGTTTACAAAAAGAAAAGAGGGCTAGCTTGGTAAATAACTAATATGAAATAACTATCTTTTGTTGAGGATTATATGAAGCTTTAATTTTTTTAATCTCAAAGTTTGGGAGAGGGATCTACTTCTTCTTACTCAGTTATAGAGAGTAATGTCAGAATGAGAGAATGTCAGAAAAATAGGAAGTGACAGCAAGTAAAAAGGACCCTACTATTTTGACAGCTACAAATATATTTAGCATCTCTATTTGGCAGGTCAATTGAGATCCGAAGTAAGAACTTTTGGGTTGTTCAAGAGAAAAGCCTGAATTTTGAAATAGGAAGAGATAAATTTGTGCCTCTTGCTTTTGGAGAAATGTTTCCTATTCCTGTTAGTTGAAGTGGTGTCTTTGAAACCACAAGGTCCTTAGAGAGAAACTGTCTGACATGGAAAGAGTACAAGGTTCCAGGTCATACAGGTCTGCATTTGAATTCTSGCACTAATTGTCTATGTGGCTTTAAACTTCTCTAGATCTTAGTTTCTTCATCCATAAGGTAGAAATCACAGCATTTTGTATTTTATTAATTGTTTTTGTGGTCCTGGGAATGGAACCCAGAGCCTCACACATGCTACTGACATCACTAGCCCCAAGTCTGGTGAAGATTTCATGAAGTTAAAATCAAGTGCCTAGCATAGGACCTGCTAACAACTCTCTTTTTCTCTTTTCCCATTCTTGTCCTAGTTTCCCAAATTGACAGAAACTAGGAAGAGACTCTGCTGGTTAGGATTCTCAGACATGGAAGCAAAGCCACACCAAAAGGTAGACTCACCTTTAGATTTGATTAACGTAAACTGAGCAGGTATTTAGCAATAGCCAATAAAAACAAAACCCTAGAGGTTAGAAACTTCCCAGAACCCTGAATGAGAGGTGGGAGGGTTAGATAAGCTGTATTGGTATCTAGAAGGGACAAATCAATGGTCAGAGGGGATGGGAAGGAACTGTGAGAATCCAGGTGGCCACCGAGAGAAGGTGAAGCCCAGTCCAGAACCTCTATTGGTCACAGCTTTAAATGTGTCACATTATCCTTTCTGTTCATTATTACTTTAAATTTTGTTCACCTCAGTTTTACAGTAATATGATCCTTGAAAATAGTCAAGGCACTTGTGAGTTTGTCGGGGAATATTTCCTCACTTTAGTCATTTAGATAGGAGGAGCATTGTGTTCTGGTGACATGGTATATTGCTGGGAGCTGCAAAGTCAAGCAAAATTAGGGGCATGGTAGGGAGCAGAAAAATATAATTAGGGGCTCCCCATCCATTCATTTGGATTGGCCTTTGCCTGCCTCAATTGTTCTGGATCATTTCATCTTTATTACATTAGTCTTCTTCACCAAGTCTTACCTTTTTCCTTCCTGCTTTCTCTGAACAGAGAGTGAACGAGAAAATCTACACTATGAACAGGTATAGATTGAGGTGTGTAACATTAGGGATAGTAGCTGTTACAATACTTTACCTACACTTTAGAGCACTGCCCCACAACACAGGTGTGTGATCGCGCACGCACACGCAATCTTAGAAGTGACCTGGTACTGTGGGAGCACCTGAAGAGTTATATCATTCCAGTGTCATTTATCCAATGGCTACTTAATGCTTCAGACCCACTATATCCATTTCCTTGTACCTCTTTGAGACCTGTGATCCATGGCAACAGGGAGCAATGCCTCTCTTTAAGTTCTTTTTTTTTTTTAATTCGTTCTTCTAGATATACGTGACAGAGTATATTTTGACACAGTATACACACATAGAATAAATATAACTTGTTCCAGTTAGGATCCCATTATTGTGGCTGTACATGATGTGGAGATATATTGCTCATGTATTCATATATAAGGACAGGAATGTTATGTCCAATTCATTCCATAGTCTTTCCTATTCCATGCCCACTCTCTTCCCTTTGTTCCCCTTTGTCTAATCCAATGAACTTCTATTCTTCCCCTCCCTTGTTGTGGGTTAGCATCTACACATCAGAGAGAACATTCTGCCTTTGGCTTTTTAGGACTGGCTTATTCCACTTAGCACGATATTCTCCATTTACCAGCAAATGCCATAATTTCATTCTTCTTTATGGCTGAGTAATATTTTACTGTGTATATATACCATATTTTCTTTATCCATTCATCTGTTATAAGGCAACCTAGATTGATTCTATAGCTTGGCTATTGTCAATTGAGCTCCTCTAAATATTGACATGGCTGTGTCACTGTACTATGCCATTTAAGTTCTTTGTCACCATATCAGAGACACTGCCGGCCCTGGAGACTATACTCATTTTCTTACCTGCTGAGAATCTAAGTTTGAGATTTTCCAGGAGTTACCTGCTATCACTGCTTATTCTTTTTTCAAAGATTATTTCTAGAACTCATTGTAGGCCCCAGAATTCCCAAGGTGGAAATGGTGAACAACTTACCTTAAATCCTAATCAATCTGAAAAGCAAAGGCAATGAATACATGGATACCTTCTCTCTTTGGAATTCCTCTTTCCATCTGACCCCTGGAATGTTGCCTTTATCTTCAGGATCAGAGAGATGTTAATAACATATTTTCTTTCAGATTCAAGCAGTTCTAGAGCCACAGTTTGTCTTTTGGCTTTAAAAACAAACCAAAGAGGGAATTTTTGTTAGTCATTCCCTCCCAAATCCTACAAAATGACAGAAAGCAATAAAAAGATATCAAAAGCAGAAAAAAGACAGCAAATTTTTGGAAGACGGAAAACAGAATGGAGGCAGGATAATTCATTCAGCAGAGCAAAGGACACACTCCTGTCTGCAGATAGAGAATCTACTGAGAAGCAGCAGAAAGATTCAAGGACTAGATACACCAAGAAAGTGCAAGTAAGGGCCACTGCCAACTAGTGAAATGGTCAAAAGTCTACGTAGGTACGTTGAACACACAGATTCTCACTGGCTTCCTCACTTCCATCCCTTGGGAAATGGGAAAAGTGAAACTAGAGAAGCCCTTTCTCTGGGATCTGGGCTAACAACTCCAGAGGGCAGGGTTGAGATGCTAATATGAAAACAAGGGCACTCACAGAAGGCCRCCTGCATTCTGAACAGTGAGATTCCCCTGGGTTCCCTTCCCCTGCAGGACCCAGAATTGCCACTAGCCAGGCTTTGTCACTCCAGGCAAGGGAGAGAGTCCTCCACTTGATAAGCTGAACTTTCCAAGGAAAAAAGGCCCTCAGAAATTGACATGAAGAGGTCACCTGCCAAAAAAGTTCATTTGCTATCCGATTCACCATCTGTAATGAAGCCCATTTATTAAAAGCTTAGACAACACAAAATTTCCAGGTTTTTTTTTTTTTTTTTTAAGAATCTCTTGAAGATACTCAGGAATTTGAATAAGTGTATACCATAAAAGAGGGAAAATGTATATGTGCATTTATTTAAGATGGGGGAGACTGAAGAAGCAGAGATAATGTAAGATATAATGAAAACTTTTAAAAATTATATAGTTAATATTATCAAAGAGATATGAGAAAAATATTCCAGCCATTTAACAATTATAAGATGCTATTTTTATTTTTTATTTATTTATTTTTTTTAAAGAGAGAGAGGGACAGAGAGAGAGAGAGAATTTTAACATTTATTTATTTTTTAGTTCTCGGCGGACACAACATCTTCGTTTTTTTTTTGTATGTGGTGCTGAGGATCGAACCCGGGCCGCACGCATGCTAGGCGAGCGCGCTACCGCTTGAGCCACATCCCCAGCCCAAGATGCTATTTTTAAAAAGACAGAATGCTTTTAAAAAGAAACTTTTGGGCATTTGTTTTAAAAYAGCATAAATAAAAAGGGTAGAAGATAAAGTCAATGAAATCTCCCCCAGATAAAAATAAGAAGAAAGAGGATATTGAAGAAAAATAGGAGAGAAAATATGGCAGTTGAACAATTCGGTCTAAGAGATTCAAATTCAAATTATTAGAAGCTTCAAAGAAAATGAAAAAAAAATGGTGGAAGGATATTACCAAAGTAATAGTAGAAAAAAAAAAATCCAGGCCATGTATTCCCAAAGGAAAGGGACCATTGTATTCTGCGTAATTAAACAAAAAGACTCTCAAATCATTGGAAGGCACAGCACATCACCATGGAAACTTAAGCACACCAAGAATAAAGAGAAAGAGACTCAACAAAACCAGGTAGAAAAACAGGGTAACATTCAAGGGACTAGGGTTCACAATGGTATTGAACTTTCCAATAGCAACATTAGAAACTAGAAGACAATAGAACAATTGCTTCAAACTGATGAGGGAAAATGGTTTTATATTAAGCCAWAGTATCAGTCATATATGTGAAAACTACTAGATGATGTGTTTCATCAAAATAAGGAGTAAACCAAGATACCAAGAACATTCAAGATGAAAACCCATAATAAGTGACAATAATTTATGGTTTGGATCTGGGATGTCGCCCAAATCTCATGTTTTGAAGGCATGATCCCCAATGCAATAAGGTTCAGAAGTGGGGCTTTTAGGCAATGATTAGGGTTCTGATCTCATCAGTGAATTAATCCAGCAAATAGATTAATTCATTGATAGTTGAATAGACTACTGGATGGTATTTGTTGACTGGTCAGTGTGGCTGGAAAAAGTAGATCACTCTGGGAGTGGCCTTGGGGACTCTATATCTGTCCCCAACTCCTTGCGCTTGACCTCTCTCCCCACCCCACCCCCTTTTTTTTTTCTCTCTCTCTCTCTCCTGCCTGGCTGCCATGTGCTGAACAACTTTCATTTTCACCACAATTTCCACCAAGACCTTCTGCCTCCCTTTGGGCCAAAAGCAACAGAGTTGGCTAACCACGGACTGAACCTCTGAAACTTTGAGCAAAATAAACTTTTCTCCACTAAGTTGTTTTTGTCAGGTATTTTGGTCACAGCAACAAAAAGCTGGCTAACACAATAACCAAGCAGGAATCTAGCATGGGAGAAATATGAAGGAAATCCCTAGGAAGACTGAAGTCCCAGGATAATAGCAGTATAATGGGCAAGAGTAGACTAGGATGACAGAGGTCCCTTGGACAAATGCTTTAAAGAAAAAATAAATAAATAAAGGGTAGAGTTTCTCTTAATAGGACTAAGAAAAATTAAAGAAGATCTTTATAAATTGAAAAATATAAGAAGATAGGAAGAACATAAATACCCTGTTATTCAAATAGAAGACTTTATACCACCAAGGTATCCATTCTCTGATAATTTGAATAAAAATATAAATTCTAGAATTAAACTCACCCATATAAGATCACTTGACTTTCCCTTGTGTAAATTAATGGGGGTATTTTCAGTAACTAGCACTGAAGTAACTGTATAATCATCTGGGGGAAAAAATGAATTTGGACCCCTTTCTTACACCATATGTCAAAATTTATTCTAAATAAGTGATAGGCCTAAATGTGAAAGCTAAAATTATAAATATTTTAGAAGAAACACATGAGAATAACTTTGCAACCTTGAGATAGGCAGAGACTTCTTGGAAGCACAAAAAAGTCACAAGCTATTAAAAGAATTTAAAATTGGCAAATAGGATTTCATCAAAATTTAAAACTTTTATTTATCCAAAAAATGACTAAAAGTGAAAAGGCAGACCATAGACTGGAATAAAGTATTCTCATCACATACATCTGATAAAGACCTCATAGCCAGATATATTTTAAATTCCTAGACAAAAAAAATAATCCATTTAAAAAGGACTTAAACAGGTACTTTGTAAAAGAAGATCTATGGAGAACCAATAAGCATATGAGGAAAAGATGTTTAATATCAATATCATCAGAGACGTACAAATTTAAAGTATAGTATGTTACTACAAGTACCAACTCATGAGAATGGCTAAAATTAAAAAGACTGTTCATGCTGATAATGGCAAGGATGTGAAGCAACTGGAGTTCTCATTAATTGGTGGTGGGAGTATAAAATTATCCAACCACTTCAGAAAACTGTTTGACATTTCTTTTAAATATATCCTTAGCCTCTACAACAAAGATTCCACTTGTAGGTGTAAACCTAAGATAAATAGGGTATATACTTAAAACATTTGTACAAGAATATTATAGCAGTTTAATTAGTAATAGTCCCAAAATGGTAGCAGTACAAATGCTCATCATCGAAGAATGAATTTTTTAAAAATGTAGTATATTCATTTAGTGTGATTAATAAAATGGAATTAATACCTCCATAATATAAGTGAATCTCAAGAAAACATTATATTGAGAGAAAGAAGCCAGACACAAAAAAAGCACATACCATACAGTTCCATTCATGTGAAGTTTGAAAACTGACAAACATGATTTATGGTAGTAGAAGACATAGTAGAAGTTTTTTGGTTAGATATTGATTGGAAGGTGTATGAGAACTTTCTGGGGTAGTAAAAATATTGTATATGTTGATCTGAGTGATGATCACTGTGGATATACATATGTAAAAAGTCAAGAAGCTAAAATATACACTCTGTGAATTTTACTCTCTAGCTAGAAATTAACCTTTAATAAAGTACTGTTTGCAAAATAGTAGCACAGACATTTTATAAAAAGCTGCAAGCAAGTACCAGAAGAAACTGCCAAAAGAGCTCAAAGTGGTTGCTRCTGTTTTTTTTATAACAAACCTTTTAGTACTATTTAATTTTTAATGTATTTGATAATAAAAATAAAATTTAGTTTAAAAAATTACCCTCCATCGTAGGAAATGCCATTGTTTGAACATAGTTAAGTGTTCAGTAAYGATTATGGCAGGAAGGAAAGAGGGAGGGAGGAGAGAACCTGTTCCAGTGATTGGTATTTCGGTAGAGAACTATTAATAAAAGATTTATATTTTGAAGATTCCACATCACTAAATAGTTCATGAAGTTTTGCCTTCTTCTCCACCAACCTTATGTTGGTTTTTATCTCCAAAGCACTATATTACTAAGTGTCATGAACATGCAAAATCTAGGTTAATACCCAACAGGCCATGTGACCTCTGGTGAGTCCCTTTATTGCTTCATCTGAAAAAGAACCCAGAGACTAGGTGTCACATTTGTCCACTGGATCTACATTGCCAGGATTCTAGCCCTTTGGTTCCAAGCCCTGGTATACCTTATACTTTAAAATTTTAACCTGCATTCCCCGTGAAACTTACCAGCTAAAGAGGTTTCACATAAAACATTCTCCAGGGAACTGTGTCTACCCTGGCCAGCTTCCTTGAGTTTATCTGGGTGGTCTTTTGTGACATATTCTTCCCCCCATTCTTTGCCATCCTTTGGCTGCCTCCATACACCAGATGAGAGGTGGCCTTTGGGCTGGATGTCAGCTGAGAGACAAGACTTGAGGTTTTCATCTGCTTCTGGAGTTGTTGGGTTCACTCCTGAAAAATAACACCTGCTGTCAAGATCTTTCTTTATAAAATATTAGTATCTGGAGCCTATCATGCTAAGTGAAATAAGCCAATTCYCCAAAACCAAAGATCAAATGTTTTCTCTGATATGTGGAAGCTAACCCACAATAAAGGAGAAAGGAGAATAGAAGCTCAGAGGATTAGACAAAGGGGAATGAAGGGAAGGAAAAGGAGATAGGAAAAGGAAAGACAGAAAAATGAATCTGACATGACTTTCCATGCTTGCATATTTATATTTAAATGAACTCTACTGTCAGACATAACTAAAAACAACCAATAAAATGTCCTAACAAAAGAAATGAAAAAAAAAAATAGTGTTCATTACTTACTCTCAACTAATATGCCCTTGTATGTGTACAACTATCCTTCAAGGATTAAATATGTCAATTAAGGATCAAAAGTTTTACCAACTGCAAGGTGTTACCTCTCTCTGCCTCTAGACAAATCTTCTACTCTTTTTACATAGGCTCTACTAAATAGAGTTTTTAAAATAAAGGTATGGGGCTAGGAGTATTGTTCAGTGGTAGAATATGCAAAGTTATAGGTTCAATATCCAGCACCACACACACAATAATAATAATAAATAAACTTGAGGCTAATTTAGAGTAGCATGTACTGACTCCTCATGTTAGCTTCCTCTCAGGTGAGCACACCAGGTGCCAGCAATATTGTGGGGAAGGAAGAACAGAATGAGGAGGAAGAAGGATGCCAACAACAATGTCTTCTTTTGCTATCCCCTTCACCCTGATGATGTACATTAGAAAAAGGAAGGGAAAGGGAAAATGCAATAATATATGAAATTCTGGTAAATTGTCAATTCAGTAAATAACTTGAATTAAACCATACAGATGTGTGGTTCATGGGAAACTTACATCATAAAACACTCACCTGTGAGATTTCAGCAAATGTTAATTCATTAGTAATTGAAAGGAGCCAGGAAAAAAAAAATGAAGATTATTCCCCAGGCCTTCACCCATCCCTGGGATTAAACAAGTCATTGATCCACTCTAGCACACATCCTAGGATCTTAGTAACAGCAATGCTTTACCTTGCCTGAGTTCTTTCATGCCTGTTTTGGGACTGAGGGAGTAGAGGCAGGAAAGATGTAAGAGGGAAAGAGTGGAATGGATGGAAGAAAAAAGAACCAACACAAGAGCCACTTACCAGGACCCATCATTCCCTTCACATTACTCTCTCCTACATGAACAGATCTGGACTCTTGGGCTGCAGAGAAAGGAAAGTTCTTACTCAGCATTCATTCCGCCAATGCACTAAGAACCTTCTATGAACCAGGCACTGAAAGACTCATAGATTTTATACTTTGTTGGGAAAGACACAGCAGCCAAAAGGAAGAAAATTATAGTATGGTGTGGCAAGTGCTGTTTCTCAGCTGCAAAATATATATGACAGTGGTACTTACCTCAAATGATTGCCATAAGAATTAAGTAGGGTAATGTATGTAAACTACTTAAAGTAGTACCTGGAATACTGTAAGAGCAAAATTATTGTTTAACCATGATGATAATAAAAATGAGAGGTGAATGGCACTGTTAAAATGTAAGTCAGACTCCTCTACTTAGCCTTTCAATGGCTTCCCATTTCAGTGTAAGAAGACCAAGTCCTCATAATCATCATACAGCCCGAGAATATTTGCTCTCTGCTGCTTGTTTGATTTCTTTTCTCCCTCCCTGCTAGGAGCCACAGCAAAAATATTGATACAGGCACCTTTGGGTTTAGTGACTGCCAGCCAGCCATTGAGATTATGATTATGTTAAGTTACATTCATATGGTAATTGGACTCCTGCTGTTTACCTGGGCCC